CCCACCCACCCCACCCCGGAGGAGGACATCCATCACACAGTCATCTCGTGCGTGGGAAATTAACGTCTCCTACCCCTAACCCTGCAGGAGACGGGACCTCCATTTATTCGACCCTATCCGAGAAGACTACAATATCCAGAATACTACTGGCGTATCTCAGCCGACGCCCTTGTTGTTCCCTTGTCTCCCCTTATTTTACCTCGATCATGGCTCACCTGCTTGAATCTCATTCTCCAAATAAAGATAAAACACAAACGAGTACCACTCTGATCGTCCAAGATGAATCAAATCTGGCAAAACGTCTTTAACATCTGGTGTCTCTTCCCGACTAATACCTGCGCAGTCCGAGTTCACACCCTGTTCTACTTTAGAGAAGAATTCACCAAGTATGGTTTTGTTCAGAACTGGTCCGCCGGCTTTGTAGACGGTCGGCTCAAATTTATTGAAGCATTTCCGTGTATAAAGTACGTCGTGTTTGGCTTCAAATGCGATGCGCGAGAAAGGGCAAGTGCGTTCAACTCTGTTGAGCTGCTTCAAATCGAAGAATGGTTTTTTGAGGCAGGATCCTGAAAAAATCCTGGATTTTTTATACTTTTGAATATTTTCCTCTCGTTTTTGGGAAAATAACTGTCGAAATATTGTTTGGCCAAGTGGGATCTCCTTCCGAAAGACACACAATGTTTCATTTCCATCGCTGTCTTTATCAGCAACAATCTGCAAATGACGAGGAAAACAAAACTGTGCTGAATATCATCGATCTAAACAAAAAAAATTTTATTCATTTGTCAGTATGGGACAATTTGACAATTTGGGATCAGACGAAGACAAATCTCCGTCCAAACAAGAAATGGAACCTCACACCCTTTTTGCGCTGGGATGCTCTCTACCTTTCAGCTACAGGCAACGAGTTGCTGAGGCGCACCATATGAAAGGTTTAAATGTGATAAGCCTCAAGCATACTGTTAAGATCAGTAATTATATAAAGTCAAAAGCATAATATTTAAATATTTTCTTAAATTTAAGACAAGCATATGGCCCACTTCTCCAACGAATTGCTTGCGCCCATACAAGTGGCAAATGAATACTGAACATCGTTCTCGGTTCGACAATCTTACTCAAGATTTGTTAACGTGTTTTGTCTTTTAGCAACAATGTAAATAACAGAAGACTATGCTACATAAAGCTAATATGCTCATACTTCTCCCCTAGAGATACAAATCAAAGTCAGGAGAACTTCACTATTTTCTCGTTCTTGCAGACCTTCTTATGGATTTGGTTCACATGAGCTCTTTGTAGTAACATTAGAACTTCTTTCTCATAATTTGGATATATCAACAAAGTGGAAATGGTAAATTGGCCACCGTAACGATTTCAAAAGCTGACGTTTCGAGCGTTAGCCCTTCGTCGGAGCGAGTAGAGGAATAATGGGTTGTGTGTGCTTTTAAAGGCTGAAAATGGATCTTCGTTATTGGTGGGAACACGGCAAAGAGAAAAACAAGAATAAATTAGTGGAATGAAAAGCGTTCGTTGATCCCTGTGGGATTTAGACTGCCGGTTTGAAAGATGAGCTTTCGTTCAAGATTTTTACGGCTTTCCGTGCTACCTAAGTGCAAGGAAAGACCGCAGATTGCCATATGTTGCTTAGAATGATTAGGTAAATTAAAATGTCTAGCGACTGGTTTCGATGTGTCCTTGTCATTCCTTTCCACGTCTCGAAGGTGTTCTCGGAATCGGTCACCTAGTCTTCTGCCTGTTTCGCCGATGTATATCTTTTTGCAATAAGTGCAAGTTATGCAATAGATTACATTGGCGGAGGTGCACGTGAAGTGATCGGTGATCTTAATGGATCGTTTAGGTCCCGATATTTTATCAGTGTTGTGAATGAAAGGACACGTTTTGCATCGTGCACGAGCGCATTTAAAAGTGCCTGGTTGGTCATTAGTCTGAAAAGAACTTCTGACCAAAAAATTGCCTATGTTTTTGTCGCGTTTGAATGAAATGAGCGGAGGCTGCGAAAAGATAGTGCTTGTCTCTGGATCGTTTTGAAGTAATTTAAAGTTTTTAAGAATGATGGATTTAACTGAGTGGTTGTGAGGGTGAAACGTGAGAGTGAATGGAATGCGGTCGGAATCTTCCTTATGCGACGTTTGTAGTGCTGAATGTCGATCAATAAGTTGNCACCCACATACTATCTATTGAAACGTGACCCTTTGCGCTGAGCACTGACCTGCTGCAACCTCCCTGACGAGTCAAAGAATATCGATACAATAAACGAATTATTGTGGCCGAAGAGATCTGGAGCTAGCCCTTTGATTCTAACGCTGCTGTGAAGCCGCTGAACATTTGGCGAGCCAACTTGACCAACCCACACCTACATGTAAGACGGTGATAAATCAGAAGAAAATTATTGTTAATGTGGCTTCTTCCGATTACAGGAGAATCTTTACAATTCTTAAGTACATAAGCCAGATGCAAACGAGAAAAGATAAAGTTGCTATTT